AAAAAATTTCATGTGATCATGTCAACATGATACATTAACATCCATCTAACATATCAACATGTCATGTCAAAATTACGTGAATTAAAATAACAAGTCATATATTGACGAATAATAATTAATCAATCATTAATTAATTTATTTAATTTAAATAAAATATTAATGTAAAAATTAAAAAAAATAAAAACTCTAGTCTTTGTCGTGGGATTGGGACAAAGGGGGAAAGTTTTTCCTTTTTCCTCAGTAAATATTCTTTCTTCTGGCCAAAGAAGACGAAACTTCCATGAACTGTTCACCTAGAAATACAATGAAACACCGGTCATCTGCATAATTCAAAGGAAATAATAGACCCTTTAAATTAAGACCAAATGAAGAATTAATGATCATAAGTAAACGTGAATACCCTTTTTTTGATGTAAGTGGTAAGTCAACTCTGATGCTGGAAATCTGGTGGCTGGTGACCTACAAGATTAAGGTGAATTACAGTTTAAATTGCAATAACAATTACAGTGGTAGGTTGCCTTCCATTTAATTTAGGCTTGTACAATGTATTAACAAAAGTTGATGATTAAGTCAAATTTGATTTTAATTCCTTTTTTTTTTAATTAATTTGTCTTCATCCTTTCTGTGGACTTGAACCATCAACATCGTTACGGTCCTTATCACTCGATTAGTGACTCATCGTTCATACCAAAAGATAGATAAACCTACAATTTATTTTTGTGACTTGAAGGTATAACAATTATGTATCTTTATTTTAAATAATATTTATTTATTTATTTAATAGAGAAAGGAACCTTGGGTTTATGGTTTGGTTATTTTTTTTATTTAGGGTTTAGCTCTTTCAACCAACCCTGTGAAGGTCTTGGAAGCCATAGCTTTTCTTGATATGGAAGGTTAAGAAAAGTGTAGAGTTGGATTTTAGCTTGATGGCTCCAGTCCCTACTAAAAGGTTGGAGTACTATGTATGGAATATTGAAGTTGAAGCCTATAATTAATTAATTACCTGAAATACCACAAGATTTGTTAGGGAAAAAGGTGGAAAATTATTACCAGTTTTATTGAATTTTGAACATAGATGATTCTTGTCTAGCCAACAAGCAAGACCATGAGAATATTCAAAGGTAGAAATTTAAATATGGTACACAAATTACAATAACCATATATAATCCCTAAAAGATATTCCCATAATTAAAATTTTGAGTTAACTCTACTTACGTCTTTTATAATTTCAATTTTTATCATATGGTATCCTGTGATTTTAGACAAGGGATTAGATGGTTGATTTTACTCAATAAAATTATAAAAAATATTTTGATAATTTTATTAAATATAATTAACAACTTAACCTTTTGCGAAAATATAAGTTATTTCACAAGTACTAATTAGTAAAAAATATATATCCACAATGCTAATTGAGAAAAAAAAAATCATAAGGTATCAGTCAGTAACCATCGGTGGATAGACCCACAATTAATGGCATTCTTTTTTCATTTTTATCTATCTATCCCCATAATATATTCTCGATGACATTTTCTAAAAATGTTATAGGATAAGAGAAATTTTGATAAGGACATTGCAATTAAGCATTCGATTTTTTTTCTCAACAATTTCTTACTTTCTTGACTCGATTCGTGCTAGGGTTTCGTTATTCGACCACGAGTAGTCGGAGAGCCGCGAGGTAGTCCAATGTGCCCCACTAGAGGGAGCCAACTAAAATCACTGAGTAATTAAACATTCATTTAGGAAGAGGTAAGGTTAGGTTAGAGTAAAAAATTTTAATTAGAATTATAATGACTTTTCGTAATCGTAATTTGATCTGAAGTTTCTTAGTAGAAGTGTTTATGGGTCAAGTTAAGTTAAGATTATCGAATCTCTCTTTTACGAAATCAAGTATGAGTTCAATCTGACATGTCATTTAATTATTATTTTATAATTTAAATAATATGTATAATATTATTAATTTTAAATACTTTTAATATGTTTTTAAATTTATAATTTAATAAAAATATAATAATTATTAATAAAATAAGTTAATGAAGCTAGATTGAGCCAAACTTGGGCCAAAAAACTTACCCAACCCTGGCCCATTGTAGCCCTACCCCTTGAATACTTGTACTTCTACCTGCCCAAGCCCATGGATATACTTCTTATTCAGTGAAATAAAAAAAATAGAAAATTAGGAAAATAAAAGCACTTGAAGTTCAAAGAGTAACATTTCTTTTGCCACAGCAATTAAGGCTTGCCCAAATTTGCTAGAAGCCTACAACAATTAAAGTCATAATGAAGTCCATCCATTCATTTAGTATATGCATTGTTATTTAAATTGGATCAAATCAATGATCAGACTAATTGAATCGATAATTCAATAATCTAATTGATCTAATTCTTACCTTGAATTGGATAAATAAATGATTTGATCAATTTTGGTCAAACTCATGATTTATTTTTTCAATTTTTGTATTAATCTTGTCTTGACCCAACTGGTTTAATTCGGTTTTGGCCAATATTCAAAATATTATAGTAAATTGAGCAATTGGCTTGGTATCTTCTCCATGCCACTTTCGAACTGATTGTGATAATTATGAATAAATAATATTTGGATTAACTTTCGAAGAACAATGTTACGCATCTATTTTGGTTTATCAAACTTATTTCAACTCTAACGCGCATATTTAACCAATGTTAACATAAACATGACAAATATGATAAAAAGTTTAAATTAAAATTGTATAAGATAAAAAAAAAGTATTCTCTTTATGGGTCTCTGTTAAACTAATTTTGTTATATAATTAAAATGCATAAAAAGATATAAATTTAATGATAATTGTACATATTTCTTATTAAGAAAGTTAAGTTCGAGCTCTCACTTTTTTCTAATAATAATAATAAACACCTAAAGAGGAGACCCTGCACAAATCCACAAAGGTAAATTATAGTGCTTTAAGTCCTTAGTAATTAGAATTGATTGAAATAGCAAAGAATAGTCCATTTCTTTTCTCCTATCTCATTTTCCTTGAAATATTGTTCGAGTTGGGCTAGAAAAGGGCAGATTAACCCTCTTCTTCAATCAAGCATAATAGTCAGCCCAGTCTCTTCAAAGCAAAAGCCCAAGCTTGAACTTTAATGTACCATTCACATTTTTCGAATTTTTATTAATATCACCAAAATTTCATACCAAAAATGCAACCTATCAAATGATGATAATATTTTAATAAATAATATATTGTAAAATTTTGATATATTATTCCATAATCAAAAGTTTAAGAGTGAAAAGAAGATCATAATTAAAGAAGAGCAATATTCAAATTCTAAAAAATACTATCATTATTTATACACGAAATTTGATTGTTACTTATTTAAATTCTAAGACGTATTTGTGTTGGTTTTTTTTTCATCTCAAATTCAATTTTCTGAAAAATAAAATGTCTAATTAATCCTAAATAGGAAAAAAAGTTTTAGATTGTCCTTTATTTTCTTTTAGGGTGAACAATTCTTTGTGAAATAAGGTGAGTTTAGTGATGAAAGAGATATGCCCTCTCTTGTACAACTTAGGACCCAATAAATTCAAATAATATTATTGTTAAAATATTGAAAAAAAATTATATCAATTAAATTAGAGGTATTCTAGATATATAAATATAATAAAGATCTTTCCATCTATTATCAATTAATTTTAAATTAAATATTCGTCTTAAAAATTCAATAATTATAACACTACACTTATGAACAAAGTCTAATATTTCACCTTTTACAAAAAATATAATTATTATCTCTCATGTGCTTTGTCTTCCTCTTTTCCTAAGAAATATTCTATGGATTTCCATCCAAGAAATTCCTCATGATGACTTGGTAAGGAATAGAAGCCTCCACAACCAAATGGTGCCATGACCATACACATATAACCTTGCTAAAAGTCAATTTATAAGCTCAAGCAACAGTTCATCACAATTCAACTTTCTAAAGAGAGAGAGAGAGAGCTTGGGGATTGAAATATATAATGAGAGGTAATTTTTTCTCTTTTTTTTTTTATAAAATTTTCATCTTGTACTAAAGTAAGATATAAAACTCTATCATAAATTAGAAAAGTAAAAAATCAAATTGATTTCTTGGTTCAAATTTTACCTTTTTATAAGTGGGAATTAGTTGGGTTTAAAGAAGGAGAGACTTAGTGCTACATATGTTTGAAAGGCTACAATTATTGAATGCACTCAATATCAAGACAAAAGAAAAAAAAGTCTATAAAGAGAGGGAAGTAGTTTAACATTTTTAAACCCTTTCTTTCAGCTAATACCAACCTATATTGAAATTCAAAAGGTCTTGGAGCTCAAGAGCAAACCCACCTTTTAAGTACAACAAACACACTTTTAAGAAAATTTTGACCTTTAAAAGGATCCAAAGTTGTCTAGGGTTTAAATTCCTATGATTTTATTTTGAAGATGTTGGATAAGATTCAATATATGATTTTACTTCGAAAATCTTGAATTTGAAGATGAACAAAGTAGAATTTACAAAACAGAAAAGATCGATCTATTAAAATGAGATGTAAATATACAATTTCATTTGAAAACTTTCGATTTAAATTTTAAGATCAACGAGATAAGAATTCTGGGTTTTTAAATAATTTAATGGTCACTATCTTACTAAACCCCATCATAAGGATAATTAACTATATGTACTATATTTATTGATCTCCTTCCAAAGTCAACCCTTATAGTAATTCATCGGCCAATTAATTGTAACCCTAGATTTTTTCAAGTTCCTAACATATAACTAATCTCAATTAAATTAATTATGTAGCATTTCTCATAGGCAGAGTTGCTCAAATTTCGCTCCCCGTGACATGCCGTGCCGTCACAGCTACTCTTTCTCCAGTTGTTTCATGACAGCACAAAATAATATGCAATAAAACAAGAAACCAATAATTTATTTGCATGTAAACGCATGAACTATATTTTAGCTTAATTAATTAATATACAGATAGAAATCCCACAATTATTATAAAAAAAGTAACACAAAATGGGGTTTATGTCAAACCTATACAGAAGAGAAATCCTAGCTCGATAATAGTATAGATGAATTATGATTTATGGACTTTGAACAAGTATGGAATTCATACAAATAATTTCATTACATATTGTTATTTATTCTTCTTTTTCCTATTTCATGAGAAGAAAAATAAATAAGATGGTCACAAACAAAAACAAAACTACATTAACATACAAGGGGAAAACCTCAATGGTGCAAGGGGTTTGGACCAGTAGGGACAAGCCGTTTCTCGGCGTCGTAACGTGGGTCGATCTCGTTGCCCCCGGCAGGTTGGGACTGGACGGGCGGAACGTGTCTCGGACGATGCCGTCGATGGTGAAGAAATGGGGTGAAGTCGAATTTGCTAGCCAACACTTTGCGGTTGCTCAAAGTGTGATGAGAAACTGATATCATCCGGTGGTGGTGGCTATCATCAACCTCCTTGGAGAACAAATTGCACCACCCAAAGAATAAAAGCAAGATAGAGAGCCAAAGAATGGTACTAAAAAGATGTATACTGCTCTTCATCGCCATGGCTGGGGGTAGAATTCTTGAACAGAAGATGGGTTCGCATGGATAAAAAAAAAAAACAAGAGAGAATACTTCAGATATGCAGGAATATCGACAGCTTAAAGGCTATGGGTTTGCTTCCATGAGACTTATCATGAACTGGGTCAATCCTGTTTTATGAGAGAAAAGGAGAGAGAGAGAGGAGGGGAAAGGGGAAGAAGGTCCAGCAGATGCGGAGAGGAGGTGGGGAAGACTGTCGACCATTCTTCATTTTCTTCTACCAATGAAACTTCCTTTGCGTTCAAGGAACAGAAGGGCAGTAAAAGCACAGATTGTCAAACCTTGAATTATATATTCGGTGAAGCACTGATCAGGCGACAGCACTCTTCTAAATTGTCTGTGCCCCATTAATTAATTCTTCAATATTTTATTTAATGAATTGCTAAACTATATATTTAGCTCCTAATTAAAAGTCTTTTTAAGTACAATTAAAAAATAATTGTTTTGATGATTTCTTGAAAATCTTTTTTATCTATATTTTTTGTACATAAGAACTTATAAATTAATCTCGCCTTATTTATCTGAAGATTTAATTTTATACTTAAATGTATAATACTCCTTTTGTCGCATTTTTTATTTTACCATCGCTTATAATATTATATATATATGTATTTTCAATTTTTTTCAATCATTATTTTCAATATTTATTCATTTTAACCGAATCTCGAAGTAATTTAATTTAACTTTTTAGTCACTTAATTGAATCTAAAACTCGAGTAAAGCTAACTTTTTTTTTCCCTAATGATGTATCATTAACAAGTAAGTTTAAGAACTCGGACCCTAATTAACATCTAATACTTATAAAATAGTCTTAAAATTAAATCCCTTTTGAGGATGCCATGAACAGTCTGGATTAGCTTTGAAAACACATTCCTGGATTTTTGTTAAGGGGTAATTAACTTAATCAATTGGACAACTCATTCACATAGAAATTAATTAAATCCTTTAATTTGGAAAAAAATTATTTAAATGAAAATTTTAAGCAATTGAAACTTGTCTTTCCCATCACCCTAGGCTAGCTAGTCCTTAGCATATGTAGTAAGTTGACTATGATTTAATAATAATTGAAGTAAATCAAAACTGACACTCCTGGAAATATGTTCAACACGCCATGTTGCATGGGGAAAACAGTATAGTTCCTTCACTTAGACTCTTCGTGCCTTCATTTTTCCACTCTCTTCTATTATTAAAATAGAAAATTTGTAATATATATAAGGTTAATCCTATTAATAATATAACTTTACCTAACTAATAATATCACAGTCTAACTAGTTAATTAACTAACGGTATTGTAGTCTCACTGTACCATTAAATTATTAAATTTATACAATTATTTTATTTTATTTTTAAGTCAATCTTAAAAATGGGTTGATGATTCACAACGATAATTAGTCTAAATGTATTAAACTTCAAAGACATTTAATCTTTGTTTTTTATATGTTTTTAATATTTATTTTTAAGATTGATACATTTTAAAATATGTTTATGTATAATGGTATTCATGGGTCAACCGGATCGGGTTCAATTGACATTTTTTAAATTTTAGATTTAGTTTGAAACCGACCATTTCATTATAAAATAATTTCACAAGTCGATTAGGGTAGACTCAAACTTAAAAGACCCGGTCGAAAGGCCCGAACCTATGGACAAGTCTAGTTGAATGTTTAGGGTTTAAAGTTTTATAAATGCCCTATAATCGTGTCAAGAAAAGTGGCTTAAGTCTTTGTTTGAGGCTTAATATATATGTACACATTGAGGAGACAAAGATCCATCATGGTTGTTTTGTGTGCTCGCTACTGCTCACACTAACTCCAATGGCAGGTTGAACTAACACCACCATTTCTTCTTCCCTCTCTTTGATATTAGACTTTCACCATATCCTCCCAAAGTGGGCAAATGGACTATGAATTGCCATTGGCTCTTGTCGGGACAATCATGACCGTGAATCAGGATGCATGGTTTTTGATCATCTGGACAAAATTCTCCCACTTCTAGCCACGTGGCAGGATCTTATGGACTTACAAATCGTTAGAGGTTGATTGTTTTTTATGTTGACCATTTTGTCTGTTTAATAAATAAAAAGCCAACCCTTTTAATGCAAAAATGTCAAACTGAGTTGTTGGGCACCGCCAACTTCTTGCGTTCCAAAAGTCAAACCTCCCATCCAAGACACGAGTGGGATATGTGGAGACTTTTACGTGAAAGATGATTAAATAATAATTATATAAAATTATAAATTAAATCATTAATTCGATTCAAAATATAAACTAAAATTGAAAAGTGATTATCATCACCACTCATCATCACTTTCGATTTGTCTCTATTTACATCACATAAGGAGTTTAATTCTGAATCTTCAATCTTGATTTTAAACCTTAATAGTAGGTAAAAATAATATTAATATAAAAATTTTATTAAATATGTGATATAAAATTATGAAAGAAGTATCAAATAAGGACAAAACATAAAGAAAGGGACAAAAGATCTTTACTCTAATTTAAAGGTGACGGTGAGGAGAGCTGGTTATGACATAGGCTTTGATTGGATGAGAAAATTTGTTGTAAATTTTGAGGAAAGGCAAATTTTATTAGGTGGGAGTATATTTTCAAGGAAAAATGCAAGTCTCGTGTTATTGATATACTTTAACGTGAAAGCTCGTGATTTGCATTATACATATAAATTACAATTATTATGAAATAATTTTAGTATACTATTTAAATAAAATTTTAAATTATTTAATAATATTTAAATAAAATTTTATTTTTTATTGTGTTCAATCAAACCCATATACTTTTATTTTGAATCATAAAAACTTTTATAACTAATGATTAACTAATTATCATTAATTAAAATGTATGTCACTTGTCATTTTATATATATTATAATGACATGACGTTAATATAAATGTAGATAGTGAAAAACATTACATGATTATGTTATTATGTCAAATTACTGTATCATGTCATCATCGATTATAATATATATCAACATATCATATCATTATTAATTATGATATATTAATATGTCACCTTAGCATCATACGACATAAAATAACAAATAAAATTTTGACTAAATCAATAATTAATCATAATAGTTAATTTAATTTAAAATAAAATAAATTTATTTATTTAATTTAAAATAAAAATATAAAAACTTAATTGAAATATTAAAAGTATAAATATTTATAAATAATTTATTTTTAAAAAATATTATGTCAATAATTTTTAACATGCATTTTATGAAAAAAAATCAATACAAATAAATCTAACGAACAAACTAGTACTCCAAAGTTTTCATGGCTTCGAGCTTAAGCCCATCTGACAAAGTCAAATTCTGGCCTTAAATTCTCGTCCAAGCAGTCCAAGCCTGCCTGTGCACGGGCCAATTCTGTAGCCTTGATGGCCAGCATGGCCCATAGTGATTTTAACCTCTTCTACACTTCGTACTTACCTGCATTATTCTAAATTAGTTTTGTATATAGTGAGGGATATATGGTTTTGCATTAAAAATATTTAAAGGTAATCATACAAAATTATAAATTGATCAATAATTTAATGTAAAGTAAAACTTAATTATTTTTTAAATAAAATTAAATTATAATATAAAAAATTAAAAATTAAAAAATGGTGATAGTCACTTCTTTCCATTAGCATCTAGTTATATATATATAGAGAGAGAGTTGACTAAATATTTAGATTGTGGTTAAAATGTTTGAGTTTTTGTCAATTAAGGATTAAATATTTCAATTGGAATAATATTAAATGTTTTCAGTTTTTTACAATTAAGGGTTAAGGTGAAAAGTGTTCGATGTCTGCAAAACATGCACATGACGTGAATGCTAACTTGAAAAGATAAATATAAAATAATATTTTTTTATAAAATCTTTTCTATCAAGTCAAAACAGTTCAAATTATGATGTGGTGTATAACAATTTTTTCATTATAACGTGTAACAATTAAATTTTTTAACATAACATGTAACAATTAAATTTTTTAACATGAAATGTAACAATTAAATTTTTAACATAATATATAATAATTATATTTTTTAATATGACGTGCAATAACTAAATTTTCAATATAGTGTGTAATACTTACATTTTTCAACGTGATATATAATAACTAAATTTTCAATATTAAGTGTAACAATTATATTTTCAATATGATTTTTTTTGTTATGTATGATAAACGTTCCATCCACTTGTTAACTTAGTTTTTAATTATAAAGAAGAACATAAATGTTAGTATTACAATATATTGTAATTGACAAGCAAAATAATAAATTGACAGATGAAAAACACTTAATATAAAATTGAAAATTGACTTATTATAAATTGGTGAAATTTGAGCAAAACAGTAAAGTTACAATAAACAAAAATTACCAGAAGAAAAATTGAACTTTGACTTTGTGAAGCTTGAGAGTGAAAAATTAGAGAATTGTGCTGATAACGAATTATGAAAAATAACTTAAAAGAACAAATAAAGATAACTTGGAAGGATAATTAAAGAGAAGAAAGAAAGTATTTAAGGAGAGAAAAGAAATTTTATGTAATATCTAAGGTAGCGTTTGGTACTTTACAATGCAATGTGATTACAGATAATCGATTGCAAGCAATGTGATTACAGAGAAGATAACATTGCAGTGTTTGGTATATAAGTAATGTAATGATTAAAATGCAGAGAAGATAATATTACAGTGTTTGTTTTACAAGTACTTTACAGGGAATGTAATGTTAATTTTTAAAACTACCCTTGTATATTAAAATACAAGTTTAACATGTATTTTTTTATGGCAAATTCTGCAGTAAAGTTATTATTTAATAAAAACATTAGATTATAAAATTAAATTATAGCCATTGATACAAGTTCAACCGGTTAATAAGAAAATAAAATTAAAAAAATTAAAGAGTCAAGAGAGATGAGGACTCTCTTTGATAAAGGAGTCAGGGGAGATGAGAAGAAGCAATCTCTTCAACGTGTTTTTCGAGCAATCTCATGATCTTCCGAAAAAATACAATGATACAAGAAGCAATGCTTGAGTTGGAAAGACAAATCATGGTAACCAAGCAGTAAGATGATTTTCATTAATTCAAGTGCACGGTTATTGCTTAGCTCCCAATTCAAGTTCTCTTCCATTTTGCTATTGATTTCTTAAAAGACATCAAACTACCTAAAGCCACAATAAGCTTGTGCAAGCCTTTACATCTTTCAACTAGATTCCTTGCCAATGAATCAAGATATGACGTAGTTAGGACATAAAAAATATCTGAACATAGAACTTGATTGTTGATGGTATTACATTAAAAAAAACTCACATGCAACATATTTCCACTACCTAATCGTCTCGGCGCTCAGAGCACAAAAATAGGTATCAAATTACAATACTTCTGGCCACAATTTGGCAGTAGAAGAGTACAAGCCCCACAAAAAAAATCAGTGAAGAGTTCACACATTGTATCTACCTTTCACTGATTTTTCCCTTCGAGAGTCATCCTGCAATGCTTTAAGCAGTCAGTTGCAGTAAGAGAATATGCACTCAAAATTACAAGTACCATTCAAATTACACTTACATGGAAGCTATAGGTAATTTTATCATTGACATCAATGATCTCCTTCCACTTCCTCCCAATGCCCATCTACATCATAAGGTTCCAATTAACATCATCAATAAGTATGTCATTCACAGAATTTCAAACGGACACAACCAATCATTAGAAGCATGGGCTAAATGACAGTGACAAGCCACTTTCCTCCATTAGCACACTCGGGATCTTCCCATTTGGGCTCAATTCCAGCCTTAAACAAGTGGAAATCAGCATTTCCAGGTAACTTGCTGGGCTTGAATATTTGATCATACAAACTGCAGCATAACAAAAGTATTTTAAGTTTCACATTTCAAATTAAACAAAAAAAATATAACAAGGCAAATAATAGAAACAAACTCAAGTTCCCTTGGTGAAGGGGGACAACGCTGCAACGCCACACTCCCAGCGCTGCAGCGTTGAGGCTACTGCTTGGTGCATGTGGATAGCCAACTTTTCCCTACAATTCAGTCCAAAAACTAACCAACTTTCAACAGGAAAGAAAAAAGCCACCACAATTCATCAGAATAACAAAAACTTGGATAAAAACTAACATGAATGAATCAAATTAACATTTTGCAATAATAAAAATTGAATCTTTATTACTACAAACTTTAATTTTTTTTCCTCCCTTTTGTTTCCTACAGTTTAAGCTTTTACTTCTATGGAATCAGGAAATAGAAAGAATAGAAAGAAATGAATAATAAATAAACAAACAAATAATGAAAACAAGAACTTACTGGTGAATTTTACCTAGAAATCCAACGTTTCTTATTGATCGAGGGCCAAATTGTTTCACTGATAAAACAAAAATATATCAATGAAGAAAACCCAAATTAAAAGAAAAAACCCAATTTGAAGAATACAAGAGGAAGATAAAAAAAGAGAAAGAAAAAGAAAAATAGTAGATTTCAACCCACACTTTCAACTGATGAAAAGAAACAGTACTAATAAGAAGGAGGAGCGATGTCTGCTGCAAATGGAGAAGAAGCAGCAGACCCTACCCCAAAAACGATAATGAATAAGGTTTAAAAGGTTTTGTGAGTAATTTTTTTAAAAAATGATGGGTAAAAATGTCCTTAAAGATATTGTAGGGTGTAATGTAATGTGATTGCATTGGTTTTGGACTACAATCACATTACATCCCTTAACTGCAATATGATTGCATTGCAATCTTACATTACAGTGTTCTGTTACAAAACAAACACTGTAATGTAATTTAATAAGCCACATTGCAGGGAATGTGTTTTACATCCCTGATACCAAACGGCTCCTAAGTGTTATCTTATAAAAATGTTATTTGTCTATAAATAGCCCTCTTTAGTTAATTTGTATACACACTTCAATAAGATCTCTTCTCTCTCCCTAAGTACTTTCTTAATTCTTTTTAATTATTCTTTCAAGTTGTCTTTATTTATTCTTTTAAGTTATTTTTCATAATACGTTATCAGCACCATTCTCCAATCTCTCAATCTCAAGCTTTACAAAATCGAAGAGTAATTTTTCTTAGGTAATTTTTGTTTATTGTTACTTTATTGTTTTAGCCAAAAATTACCAATTTATAATAAGTCAATTTTTAATTTTATATTAAGTGTTTTTCATCAACCAATTTATTATTTTGCTTGCCAATTACGATATATTGTAACACTAACATTTATGTTCTTCTTTTAAGCTATCACAATGTTAAAAAAAATTATAAATATTAGTATTACAATATATTGTAATTGATAAGCAAAATAATAAATTGACAGATGAAAAACACTTATTATAAAATTAAAAGTTAACTTATTATAAATTGGTAAAATTTTGGTAAAATAATAAAGTTACAATAAATAAAAATTACCTGAAGAAAAATTGAACTTCAACTTTGTGAAGCTTGAGAATTAGAGATGAGATAATTGTGCTGATAACATGTTATGTAAAATAATTTAAAGAACAAATAAAGATAACTTGAAAAAATAATTAAAGAGAAGAAATAAAGTATTTAAAGTGAGAAAAGAGATCTTATTAAAATATGTATATAAATGAACTAAGAAAGTTTATTTATAAGCAAATAACTTATTTATAAGATAAAAATAACACTTAAAAATTAGATAGATTAAATCTTAATTTAATTTAATTTACATTAAATCTAGATATAAATAACATAAATATATATTTATAAAATATTCATAATAATTAATTAATTTTTTAACAAAAAAATTGTCTATAATCTCTCAACAAATAGAAAAAAAAATTATTACATCATCTTCCCGAAGTTAACAAATCCACAACAAAAAGGTACACATGCCAAGTCAAACCCAGACTCCCCATCAACCCTCCGTTTTCAATATTGCGACGTGTAAGGTACTGATCGAATCCATAATAAAGCTAGGGCACATCATCGTCAGCAAGCCCACAGAAAAAGCTCCTGAGCTTCGTTATAAATAAACCCTTCCCCCACTTCCTCGCAACAGAAAAACTGAGTACGGGGTGCCACGAGCCATGGCCAAGCCTCGCAAGCCCAAGCCCGACCCGGAAGACTCCAAGCCAGCTAACTCCGGCGCCGTCGTCCGCCACCAGAAGCTCTGTCTCTCCATTGACACGAACCTCCGTCGCATCTACGGGTAATTCTAATTTCATTTCACTTTTGCGTCTCTCTACATTTCATTAAAGAAATGCGTAAATTGGTGTGTTGTGTTGAGACGGTGTCGTTTTGGTTTGTTTTCAGTTACACTGAACTGGAAATTGAGGTACCTGATATCGGAATCGTTGGATTACATGCGGAGAATTTAGGGATTGAGAGTGTGCTTGTAGAAGGGGAACCGACGGAGTTTGAGTATTACCCGCATAATCAGGTAGCTGATAGTGAAAAGCGGTGGGGCTCCGCCGCATCTTCTCTGAGTTCAGCTGCGGATGCTGCTGCCGCTGCCTACGTTACGGCACTGGAGATGGAACTGATGCCTAATTTTCTTATCAATTGTTGCAATAAAATGCACATTGAGCAAATCAATACGGAGAATAACGGAGTCCAATCTTCTGCTGAAGTCAAGCAGGTTATAGTGGCTGTTTTTTAGTGAATATATATTTGTAATTTACTTTGTTTTTATTTTTTAAGTTGCATTATTGCGTGTAAATGGTAAGGGGATTTAACGTTTTAATCAATGTGCTAGGGTTTGCTTGGTTCAGTTTTTGGTTTCCATTTCTCAAAATATGTGAACAGGAAAAACTAAAATGAGAAGGAAAAAAAATTAAGGTTTCTTTTGGTAGTTGCTTTTACTACTTGCATTCTAAAAGTAGTTATAAAGCAAAAAAGAAAATGGTAAAAGTTGATAAATGACTAAATTTAGCATCAATTTTAACATATTTGTTGTGTGTGAATATATATAAAATTTTTAGTTGTTCAAATATATTTTCGGCCTTTCTTATTGTGGTGTGTTTTGCATTTTGTGCAAGTACCAAAAGTAACAATTAAATGATATCTAAAAATACTGTTTTTCTGCAAAGCCAAGAAATGAGGGGAGTTATTTGGGTGATTGTCTTTGTGTACTGAGTTTGATGTGATGAGGTTTACGGGTATTCCGGTTTCTCACGTAGGTTGGTATTGGGTGCAGAATGTGAAATCAGTTCGTGTTAACTATTGGGTAGAAAAAATGGAGACAGGGATTCATTTTGAGGATAATGTGGTACATACTGATAATCAGATACGACGTGCTCGGTGCTGGTTTCCTTGTATTGATGATAATAATCAACGGTGCTGGTAGGAATTGTGTTCTGCCCCTTCTTATAGTAATTTGGCTATTTTGGGCATTTGACAGTCTTTATGTATTATTTGTTCAGTTACGATCTGGAGTTCACAGTTGCCCACAATCTTGTGGCTGTCAGCAATGGGAGCTTATTATATCAGGTGAGATAAATGTGACGGAAAACTATCTAGTGGACATTGCTAAAAATTGTAGGGCATGCATAATGTTATGTTTTGCAACTTCTCTGCTTAAGTTCCATGGAAGCATTAGAAAAAGTGCATTTTGAGTCAGTAAGGGTGGATGCCAAAACTTTTTGGATGAGTGGTCGTGAACAATTAACCCGAGACTTAATGTAGGAGACCTTTTAAAGTAATAAAGATCCACATTTTCTAATTATAATTCTGAAAAAGCATATAAAATCGAAAAGTTTGGAGACACAAAGTATGAAAGAGAAGCAAGGTTAAATAAAAACTGCGTCAGTTCAAATTAGACCCAATATAATAGGAAACAACGCACTTAGATTGGATCTGGCTCATTGGATTATGGGTAATATCAAATGAGATGAAATTGGTAAGCAAATGTTCTTTGTTTTATCTTATTTTAGTGCATGCATAAAAAAAATGCTTTTATCTTTCATTCTTTGACATAATCTTAAATGTTTAGGATTATCTAATCTATTACTCTTCATAGGCTTATGTAATAATGTCCATGTAGGACAACTAATTCAGCTAGCTGTCAAATTTTTCTAGTAAAGGACTAAAGATGACAGCAAATGTAAAATGAAATAAGAGGTTAGTTTATCCAATCCTAACCTATGCACCAAATGAACATCTTAGTCATAAATGTTTTTGGGTAATCTAGATTTTCTTTAGAATAAATGGTAAAACTCATATTCCTTGTGGTTTAATAATGATCAAACCAAACAAATTCTTTGAGTAGACCCAAGTCCAGTTCTAGGTTGGTGCATAATTTGCGGGGATAGCTCAGTTGGGAGAGCATCAGACTGAAGATCTGAAGGTCGCGTGTTCAATCCACGCTCACCGCATGCATCCTTGGGATTGAGGCTTGGAGTTGACTTATTACTTGCGAGGTTGGTCAAATTATACTTGGTGAAGGTGGAATATCCCATTTTTTGTGGAGGACATGCTACTTCGATTTAATACTTTTGCTACAATTCAACACAATTTGCAGATCGTTTCACTAGTACTAACTAGGTTAGCCACTCTTTTGTCTTTGCAAATGTGCCAAGGTTGTTTTTGAGCCTTTGGAAAACTTCACAATTAGTACCAGCTAAATGAAGCTGGAGGGTCAAATTAATAGCTATAATTGAATTATCATAAGTCTAAAAGATATAATTACTAAAATTAATTCCTGAACAGTTCAGTGTTGGTAAAATTTATTTAAAACTGGGCTGGTTGTTTTCTGTGACTTCATATTGCCAGAATTGGGGAGCTGTTTTATGTTGCCCCTTTTAGCTCAAAAAGAACTCATATGTTGCTTGTTGATCAAAACATAATGTGCTGAAATGCACCATTGTTAATCAGTACAAGGAGAAAAGGCTAATTTTATTGTGGTGACTTTAGTTTACGCAACAAAAGCATGTTTTCTGTTGGTGGTATCAA